GGACACAGCGACAGGCGGCCGAGACCACCCGGGGGGTTTCTGGGTAACAGATGGACACCCCGGGCAACGATCCCCACTCTGGCCTCTGGACGGTCAGCACAGCAGGACACCTCTCAGCCTCTGAGCCTGGTGCCCTCCTTTCTGAGGTGCTGGGGAGCCGGCGGCTGCTTAGGGGGGTGGGGAGCCCCCGACGCTCCCTCTGGCCTCACCTCCCTCAGAGCGCACCTGCCAGAGGCCACCTGTCACAAAGCCTCTCAGCGGTGGGTTGGTGCACGGCGCCCAGACTGGGTTCTGAGGTGGCGGCCACAGTGACCCAGGGGCCGGAGCAGCCATGAGACATGGTCACCCTGAGGGGTGCCCCCCAGTTCCACCAGCCGGACCTGGGACCAGCAGCGGCCGGGGAGGTTCACCTTCCTGAGGCTAAAAGCGAAGCATAGTAACCTCCATCTTGTATAGAAAACTGCTGTTAAAATTCTCTGCTGTTGTTAGATAATCCCTTGTTCTGTAAGCTCTGTCATTATAAACTCTGTCACTTTAAGACAGTCTGTTATTCTGTAAAATAACTTTGTTTTTAGTTCAAATAATAGAAAAAGATCAACTTAACTGTCTGACCTTGCAAGCTACCATCCAATGTAATAGACTAAAATAGACTAATACTGATAATAATTATGGCATGTAAAAACTCATTATGTATTCAAGGTTACAACTGTCTGTAACATTAACTCACAGAGAGCCCTTTGTAATATCTACAAACAAAGAGGATCAAAAGGTATAAATACCGGAAACTTCCTATGAGTTGATCGGAGATTTGGAAAGAGACACCTCCCTCTGGGCCCCACGCAATAAACGACTCCTAGTTAATTGGCTCATTAAGGCCTCTTGGATCTCATTCCATGATTTACCATAAACAGGAGGGCCCATCAGCCCAGGCTCACCCATCACTCATGGGGCGACCCCACCTGGTCCCCGCCATCGCCTGACCTTCAGGATTCTGTGCCCCTGGACACAGGCACGTGGGAGCAGAAGCCATCCCCTGAGCCTGTTCGGCCGAGGAACCCACCTCCTCTACCTGCAGGGGATTTCATTTTTCTTGATCCTCACCCGAGGATAATTTTCCATTGATTTTTAGGGAGAGTGGGATGGGGAGGGAGAGACAGAGAGAAACATCGATGTGAGAGAAACACATTGACTGGATGCCTCCTGCACAAGCCCTGACCACGGCCTGGACCAGGGAGGAGCCGGCAATCAAGGTACGTGCTCTTGACCAGAATGGAACCCGGGACCCTTCGGTCCTCAGGCTGATGCTCTATCCACTCAGCAACACTGGATTTTTGAGCCAAATCACAATTTTCTTATTTATACATAGAGCGCTGTAGACCAGTGGAAGCCACCTTGTAGATTTTATATTCTGTTCAATATTCTAAAAAAAATAGCCTTAGCCCAGCTGGTGTGGCTCAGTGGTTGAACATCAACCTATGAACCAGGAGGTCAGGGTATGATTCCCTGTCAGGGCACATGTCCAGGTTGCAGGACTGGTCAATGATTCTCTCTCATCATTGATGTTTCTATCTCTCTCTCCCTCTCCCTTCCTCTCTCAAATCAAATTTAAAAAAAAAAACACGTTAAAAAATGATAAGAAATAAAAATAAAAGAAATTTGCCTTTATGCCCTAGCCGGTTTAGCTCAGTGGATAGAGCACCGGCCTGTAGACTGAAGGGTCCCAAGTTCAATTCAGGTCAAGGGCACACACCTTGGTTGCAGGCTTGATCTCAGGCCTAGAGCTGGGCACCTATGGAGGCAACCAATAAATGTGTCCCTCTCCCATCCATGTTTCTCTCTCTGTCTCTCCCTCTCCCTTCCACTCTCTCTAAAACCAATGGAACAATATCCTGGAATGAGGATTAACAAAATGACTAAATAAGAAAAAAAAAAAAATCTGCCTTTGAATCCCCCACACTGATGTGCCACCACTGAACGAGGCAGGCGGTCCTCTGTTCCCACGCCCCCCCCCCCCCCCCCC